AGTCTGGACTATAGACAAGACTATAGTCTGGACTATAGACAAGACTATAGTCTGGACTATAGACAAGACTATAGTCTGCACTATAGACAAGACTATAGTCTGGACTATAGTCTGGACTATAGACAAGACTATAGTCTGGACTATAGACAAGACTATAGTCTGGACTATAGTCTGGACTATAGACAAGACTATAGTCTGGACTATAGACAAGACTATAGTCTGGACTATAGACAAGACTATAGTCTGGACTATAGACAAGACTATAGTCTGGACTATAGACAAGACTATAGTCTGGACTATAGACAAGACTATAGTCTGGACTATAGACAAGACTATAGTCTGGACTATAGACAAGACTATAGTCTGGACTATAGATAAGACTATAGTCTGGACTATAGACAAGACTATAGTCTGACTTTAGACAAGACTATAGTCTGGACTATAGACAAGACTATAGTCTGGACTATAGACAAGACTATAGTCTGCACTATAGACAAGACTATAGTCTGGACTATAGACAAGACTATAGTCTGGACTATAGACAAGACTATAGTCTGGACTATAGTCTGGACTATAGACAAGACTATAGTGTGGACTATAGACAAGACTATAGTCTGGACTATAGACAAGACTATAGTCTGGACTATAGACAAGACTATAGTCTGGACTATAGACAAGACTATAGTCTGGACTATAGACAAGACTATAGTCTGGACTATAGATAAGACTATAGTCTGGACTATAGATAAGACTATAGTCTGGACTATAGACAAGACTATAGTCTGACTTTAGACAAGACTATAGTCTGGACTATAGACAAGACTATAGTCTGGACTATAGACAAGACTATAGTCTGCACTATAGACAAGACTATAGTCTGGACTATAGACAAGACTATAGTCTGGACTATAGACAAGACTATAGTCTGGACTATAGTCTGGACTATAGACAAGACTATAGTCTGGACTATAGTCTGGACTATAGGCAAGACTATAGTCTGGACTATAGACAAGACTATAGTCTGGACTATAGACAAGACTATAGTCTGGACTATAGACAAGACTATAGTCTGGACTATAGACAAGACTATAGTCTGAACTATAGACAAGACTATAGATAAGACTATAGTCTGGACTATAGATAAGACTATAGTCTGGACTATAGACAAGACTATAGTCTGACTTTAGACAAGACTATAGTCTGGACTATAGACAAGACTATAGTCTGGACTATAGACAAGACTATAGACAAGACTATAGTCTGGACTATAGACAAGACTATAGTGTGGACTATAGACAAGACTATAGTCTGGACTATAGACAATACTATAGTCTGGACTATAGACAAGACTATAGTCTGGACTATAGACAAGACTATAGTCTGGACTATAGACAAGACTATAGTCTGGACTATAGACAAGACTATAGTCTGGACTATGGTCTGGACTATAGACAAGACTATAGTCTGGACTATAGACAAGACTATAGTCTGGACTATAGACAAGACTATAGTCTGGACTATAGACAAGACTATAGTCTGGACTATAGACAAGACTATAGTCTAAACTATAGACAAGACTATAGTCTGGACTATAGACAAGACTATAGTTTGTACTATAGACAAGACTATAGTTTGTACTATAGACAAGACTATAGTCTGGACTATAGACAAGACTATAGTCTGGATTATATACAAGACTATAGTTTAGAATATATACAAAACTTGTCTATATTCTAGACTATAGATAAGTTTATAGTTTGTACTCTAGAATATGCAATTGTTTATAGAATAAAATCTGAAGTATATACTAGACTATAGTCTGGACTATATACTAAACTATACGCTCAGTATCCTACCATTTTTAAGGAACTATTCTTTCAGTGTTTTAAACTTTCCGTTCATTTAATATCGCTCCCTTCTTTAAACGCTTTCAAAACACTTTAAATACTTAAAGAAGAATTTTTTCCGTTCTACAGCAAATAACATTTTCTCTCATTTGCAACAATTATTTCTTAAATATTTTTGCATACTTTTGTCTGCTGAAATAAATACTATTTAAAAATTCCTCATGTCATTCTACTTACTTCCCCACAAAACTCTAGGCTGGTTGTGTTTTACAACAACCAACAGCAACAACATTACAGCAACAAGCGGCATTTCTAGACAGCAGAGGCCGAGTCTAAAGATATTTGAAAGCTTGTGAAATAGCTTTTTTAATATGTCTGGTTAACAAGTTCTCTTTCTGTCGATCACTGTTTGGTACAGATTTAAGAGGGATAGACGAATGGATGGATGGTTGGTTGGTTGTATAGATGGTTTGTTGGTTGCATAGAGGAGCGGATGTAGAGTTTACATTTACTGAAAATGTTGTTAGTTTTAAGAGTTTTCTCATTTTTTTTCTCTGTTCAGCTTGGCATTTATTTGCAAAGAAACTTTTCTATACAATTCGTTCGTTTTGCATATTTTCTAGATTTGAATTGTGTTTTTTTTTTCTGTAGTATTTCATACAAATAAATGAATTTCTAGCCTGCAGTAAATTGTAAAATTCATGACAACATTTACGATTGTTATGGAAATGCATTAAGTGCAATTTATTGTACGCTTAAACAAATTTTCTATGCAAAAGTGTAGACAAAATTTGTATAGAGAGCTACACGACATATGTACATACATACAACTAACACGAAACATATGAATATGCTACATTTGAGGGGGACAGAGAAGGGACAGATCTGTAGAATTTTGTGGCTGCAAACATGCTTGCTACTTTTGTTGTTGTTGCTGTCGTTGTTCTTGCTTGTTTCGAAGTTCAAACTCAAGTGTTTGTTAGGTTTTTGTCTTTAAATTCTTAAATCCAAAACCTGGAATAAGCGTTTAAATTAGAGGAAAACAATTTTAAATTGTGAATTGTAACAGATAAGATACTTTAAGTAGATATTTGTTTTAAATTTTAGGCCAAAATATTTAAAACAACATTTTAAAGCATATATGCACTATAGTCTGCATTATAATCTTGACTATAGACTAGACTATAAGCTATACTATAGTGTGGACTATAGACTAGAAAAGGAGAAATCTAGTCTATAGTCCACACTATAGTATAGCTTATAGTCTAGTCTATAGTCCAGATTATAATGCAGACTATAGTGCAGACTATAGTTCCGACTATAGCCTAGTCTATAGTCTAGACTATAGTCTAGTCTATAGTCTAGACTATAGTCTTGTCTATAGTCTTGTCTATAGTCCAGACTATAGTCTTGTCTATAGTCCAGACTATAGTCTTGTCTATAGGCCAGACTATAGTTTTGTCTATAGTCCAGACTATAGTTTTGTCTATAGTCCAGACTATAGTCTTGTCTATAGTCCAGACTATAGTCTTGTCTATAGTCCAGACTATAGTCTTGTCTATAGCCCAGACTATAGTCTTGTCTATAGCCCAGACTATAGTCTTGTCTATAGTCCAGACTATAGTTTTGTCTATAGTCCAGACTATAGTCTTGTCTGTAGTCCAGACTATAGTCTGATCTATAGTCCAGACTATAGTTTTGTCTATAGTCCAGACTATAGTTTTGTCTATAGTCCAGACTATAGTTTTGTCTATAGTCCAGACTATAGTTTTGTCTATAGTCCAGACTATAGTTTTGTCTATAGTCCAGACTATAGTTTTGTCTATAGTCCAGACTATAGTCTAGTTTATAGTCCGGACTATAGTCTAGTCTATAGTCCAGACTATAGTTTTGTCTATAGTCCAGACTATAGTCTTGTCTATTGTCCATACTATAGTCTTGTCTCTTGTCTAGACTATAGTCTTGTCTATAGACCTGTCTATAGTCCAGACTGTAGTCTTGTCTATAGTTTTGTTTATAGTCCAGACTATGGTCTTGTCTACAGTCCAGCCTATAGTCTTGTCTGTAGTCTAGACTATAGTCTTGTCTGTAGTCCAGACTATAGTCTTGACTATAGTCCAGACTATAGTTTTGTCTATAGTCCAGACTATAGTCTTGTCTATAGTCCAGACTATAGTCTTGTCTATAGTCCAGACTATAGTCTTGTCTATAGCCTAGACTATAGTCTTCTCTATAGTCCAGACTATAGTCTTGTCTATAGTACAGACTATAGTCTTGTCTATAGTCCAGACTATAGTCTGATCTATAGTCCAGACTATAGTTTTGTCTATAGTCCAGACTATAGTCTAGTTTATAGTCCAGACTATAGTCTAGTATATAGTCCAGACTATAGTCTAGTTTATAGTCCAGACTATAGTCTAGTTTATAGTCCAGACTATAGTCTTGTCTATAGTCTTGTCTATTGTCCATACTATATTCTTGTCTATAGTCCAGACTGTAGTCTTGTCTATAGTCCAGACTATGGTCTTGTCTTCAGTCCAGACTATGGTCTTGTCTACAGTCCAGACTATAGTCTTGTCTATAGTCCAGACTATAGACTTCTCTATAGTCCAGACTATAGTCTTGTCTATAGTCCAGATTATAGATTTGTCTGTAGTCCAGACTATAGTCTTGTCTATAGTCCAGACTATAGTCTTGTCTATAGTCCAGAATATAGTCTTGCCTATAGCCCAGACTATAGTATTGTCTATAGTCCAGACTATAATCTTGTCTATAGTCCAGACTATTGTCTCGTCTATAGTCTTGTCTATAGTCCAGACTATAGGCTTGTTTATAGTCCATGCTATAGTCTTGTATATAGTCTTTTCTATAGGCCAGATTATGGCCTTTCCTATAGTACTTTCTATATTCGAGACTTTAGTCTGCTCTATGGTCCAGGTTTTGGTCTAAGCTATTGTCTCGACTATAGTCTAATCTACTGTCTATAGCACAGACTATATTGTACTCCATACTATAGTCTACAGTCCAGACGGTAGTCAATCCTTAAATAAGGATAATTGCCCAAACTATAGTTCGGTCTATGTTTTAGTCCCATAAATAAATCATTTATCGTTTTAGAATCTCCATCTTACCATTCAACTTTTTTCTTTTCAGGGATCCAATCGGCTTCCGTACAACTGTTAAGCAATCGTCCTCATGAAGTTATACTTAAGTGCCATGTAGAAGCCTCCTCAGGTGATGGTCTACTCGAAATCGAATGGTTTCGCAATAGCGAAAAACTTAGTTCTTTAAAAAATATAGAATTGCAAGAAAATCGCCTCGTCATACACAATCCCAGTAATTTAGATGCTGGCCTTTATCGTTGTATAGCCGCCAATGCTGCTGGACGTGTTATCAGTCGTAAAGGTTATATATTAAAATGGGCCTCGGCAAAATCGGAACATACCGAATCTTCACGCAATTGTATACCAAGACTTAAGAAAAACTATATTATGCCGGAAAGTATGAAAAATATGTTTCTTTGTCGCGACAAACGAGGAGGAGATGATGATAAATTACCCCAAGCTGAGGTGAAAATTACTCAAGGTCCTGCCAAAAAAGTAGTAGTAAAAGAGAATGATGCTGCCGAATTAACTTGTGCCTATAGCAATTCACAAAAACAAGCCTCCGATGTTATACTCAAATGGCACAAAGATGGTAAATTCTTTCGACAAATTAATGTGGCCGGAGAGGCAAATGATCAACGTTTAGTAGAATCCAATAAGGATCCCATGTTACGCGAAGATGTTCGTGTCTCGATAGCCAAGGAGAATGGCTCCTTAATATTTACCAGTGTTATTGCGAGTGATGCTGGCCAATATGTGTGTCAAATCGTTGTAGAAGGCTATCGTCCCACCACTTCTGAGCCGGGTGAATTGCAAGTCATTGAACAATTGAAATTCATGCCACAACCTACTTCGAAGAATCTCGAATTGGGTTCGGTGGGCAAAGTACATTGTAAGGCACAGGGAACACCAGCACCACAAGTTAAATGGCTTAAGGTAAGTAGAAAATGGTGGAATATAGAAGGGAACATAAAAATAAGTTTGTCTTTTGTTGTAGTTAAAGTTAATACACTAGTTTTGGTTTATTTGTTGTAGTATTACAACACTAGGAGAATTGGGATAGAGGGTGATAAGTGAGACAGTGGTTTGTTAAGAATTTTTAAAAGAAATTAGGAGTCAAATGGACACGATTTTCATGTAATAAAGTGACCTTTTTAAAGAAAATTTTCTAAAGAACATTTTTTTATAATAGAAGCGAACTTTTGACTTCTTAACCACTGTCTTTCTCCATTATAGAAAACTACTTAAGGGTAGTTTGGCAAATAAACTGCAAACAACTGGAATAATGCAGAAAAAAATATAATAAAAATCTAACAAAATTAGTTTCATTTGAACAACGTACTTAAAGATATTATGTAAAATACTCGTACCGAGTAAGAAACATAAAAAATGGCTAAAAAAAACCTAAAGAGCTTAGTGGAGTATTTTATACCACTTATATGAAAAACATACTAATACTCGTTGTTGTTGAAGTATGCAATGGAATTTTATTTCACAAACAAATAAAGTCAATGACCAGTGGGCATTTCTGCAAAAATTCGTTTTTTTTTGTAGAAAAAAAAGGAAATATTAAAAAACTAGTAAAACTATATAGAAAAAAAATCCTAATATTACTTTGGTTTGTACCTTTTTTTTTCTTGGTTAGGAACATAGTAATCCAGTCTAATTAAGAAAAAAAATGGAAGGTGTTGCAGTAATACTAAGATTTAAGAGTTTAAGTATTAAATGTATTAAATTTAAAGGGATAAATAACATTATAATTTGATTTTAAAGTGTTGTAAAGGCTTTGTATTCTAATTATTATGCTACATAATGCATTATATTTTGATTATAATGTGTTAGAATGCATTATATTTCGATTATAATGTATTTTTAAGCATTAAAATCCTATTACAATGTATTCGATTACATTAGATTCCAATTATAATGCATTTGAACACATTATATTCTGATTATAATGCATTTGAACACATTATATTCTGATTATAATGTGTTTTAATACATTATATTCCGATTATAATGTGTTATAATACATTATATTCCGATTATAATGTGTTATAATGCATTATATTCCAATTATAATGCACTGTAATACATTATAATGCGATTATAGTGCATTTGAATACATTATATTCTGATTATAATGTATTTTATTATATTATATTCCGATTATAATGTGTTATAATACATTATATTTCGATTATAATGTATTTTAATATATTTTATTTCGATTATAATGTGTAATAATGCATTATATTCCGATTATAAAGCATCTCAATACATTATAATGGGATTATAGTGCATTTGAATACATTATAGTACTATTATAATGCATTTGAATACATTATAATACGATTATAATGCATTCTAATACATTATAATACAATTATAATAAATTTGAATACATTATAATACGATTATAATGCATTTAAATACATTATAATACTATTATAATGCATTTGAATACATTATAATACGATTATAATGCATTTGAATACATTATAATATGATTATAATACATTATAATACGATTATAATGCATTTGAATACATTATAATACGATTATAATGTATTTGTATACATTATAATATGATTATAATACATTTAAATACATTATAATACGATTGTAATGCGTTTGAATACATTATAATTCAATTATGAGGAATTTAATGCATTATATTCCGATTATAATCAGTTATAATACATTATTTTCCGCTTATAATATGTTTTAATAAATTATAATCTGATTATAATGTGTTGTCATTCATTATATTTCGATTGTAATGCAATTTAAACATTATATATTCCAGTTATAATATGTTAAATTCCAGTGTATTTCGATTCGATAATGTCACCTCTCAAAACGTTTAAGCCCCTCAATTCTTTTGCCCTTACTCACCCCGTTTATTTCTTCTTTTTTCCAGGATTTCAATGAAGACTTACCCGATTCTCTAGAGGACATAAATGGTACTTTAACCTTTAAAAATGTGTCAGCTGAGCATCGCGGCAACTACACCTGTATGGCTTCAAGTAGTCAAGGACAAATTAATGCCACCGTTAGCATAAATGTAGTGGTGGCTCCACGTTTTCTGGTCGCTCCTGAAGGACCTATCGAAAGTGCTGAATCTGGTGTGGCTATTATGCATTGTCAGGCCACGGGAGATCCCAAACCCACCATACAATGGGATAAAGATTTGGAGTATTTAAGTGAGAATAATACGGATAGGGAGAGATTTAGATTTTTAGAGAATGGCACCTTGGAAATACGTAATGTACAGATGGAAGATGAGGGTAGTTATGGTTGTACTATTGGCAATAGTGCGGGTCTGAAGAGAGAGGAAGTGAGATTTATAGTGAAACGTAAGTTTTATAACATAGAGAAAAATTTGAATCTCAAATTTTAAATGTCAAATTCTTAATATTCCAGCTGCCGATGGCTTTCCTTTGGGCGAAGGAGAACAGGAGGGTTTTCTTATTACTCGCGCCGTTTTAATCACCATGTCGGTAGCCTTTGCTTATATAATCTTGGTAGTGGGTCTGATGATTTGGTGCCGCTATAGACGTCAGGCTCGCAAAGCCCGTCTTAATGAAGCCAATCCTGAAGCTGGTGAGGGTGATAAGTTAGCTGAGAATGAACCCTGTTTATCGGAGAACAAAAGTGCCAAAACACGTAAAGCAAATGGCAACAATAATCCAAAGGGTAACGTTGGACATGATGCCCAAAAATCTGATGATACCGCCTGCAGTAATCATTCAAAAACTTCCAAAAAGTCCAATGTCTATGATCAATTAAGTTTTCCTCGCTCGGGTATAAGTGAACTGCTACAAGTGGGTCGCGGTGAATTCGGCGATGTATTTGTGGGTAAAATTAAAACCTCACTCATCAAACAGACCGATGACAAAGACACCGATACTGAGAAAAATAGTAACAGTGATAATGGCAATGGTTCAGCAGCAACCACTTCTACTACAGTGGAAAAGAGAAGATCCAAAACTTCCATGGATGATATAGAAGAAATCAAAGAAGAACAGGAAACCTGCAGCAGTGAAGGAGATGCTCAGGGTAATGCCAATTCAGATGAATATAAATTAGTTATGGTGAAGGCTTTAAATAAGGTAAAGGATGAAAATGCTTGCCAAGAGTTTAGGCGACAAATCGAAATGTTCCGCACTTTAACGCACAAGGGAGTAGTGCGTTTATATGGTTTGTGTCGCGAAAAGGATCCTCACTATATGGTTTTGGAATACACTGATTGGGTGAGTTCAAATTTGAAGGGTTTTTAATGAACCATAGAATCTAATTATGGCTTACCTTTTTGATTTATAGGGTGATCTCAAGCAATTTTTATTGGCCACCGCTGGCAAAGTCAATACTTCCACAAATTCCTCCTCACCACCACCACTACAGACTGGGCAGGTCTTGGCTGTTGCTTATCAAATAGCCAGAGGCATGGATGCTATATATAGAGCAAGGTTTATACACAAGTAAGTAAAATAAAACTGGACTAGAATTTAACAAGAAAAGAACTAGAGCAGAAATAAAACAGAACAAAACTAGAACAGAACTAGAACAGAACAAAACTAGAACAGAACTAGAACATAACTAGAACAGAACTAGAACAGAACTAGAACAGAACAAAACTAGAACAGAACTAGAACAGAACTAGAACAGAACTAGAACAGAACTAGAACAGAACTAGAACAGAACTAGAACAGAACTAGAACAGAACTAGAACAGAACTAGAACAGAACAGAACTAGAACAGAACTAGAACAGAACTAGAACAGAACTAGAACAGAACTAGAACAGAACTAGAACAGAACTAGAACAGAACTAGAACGGAACTAGAACAGATCTAGAACAGAATTAGAACAGAACTAGAACAGAAATAGAACTGAACTAGAACTAAACTAGAACTGAACTAGAACGGAACTAGAACAGATATAGAACGGAACTAGAACAGATCTAGAACAGAATTAGAACAGAACTAGAACAGAAATAGAACTGAACTAGAACTGAATTAGAACTAAACTAGAATTGAACTAGAACTGAACTAGAACTGAACTAGAACAGAACTAGAACAGAACTGGAACAGAACTAGAACAGAACTAGAACAGAACTAGAACAGAACTAGAACAGAACTAGAACAAAACTAGAACAGAACTAGAACAGAACTAGAACAGAACTAGAACAGAACTAGAACAGAACTAGAACAGAACTAGAACAGAACTAGAACAGAACTAGAACAGAACTAGAACAGAACTAGAACAGAACTAGAACAGAACTAGAACAGAACTAGAACAGAACTAGAACAGAGCTAGAACAGAACTAGAACAGAACAGAACTAGAACAGAACTAGAACAGAACAGAACTAGAACAGAACTAGAACAGAACTAGAACAGAACTAGAACAGAACTAGAACAGAACTAGAACAGAACTAGAACAGAAATAGAACAGAAATAGAACAGAACTAGAACAGAACTAGAACAGAACTAGAACAGAACTAGAACAGAACTAGAACAGAACTAGTACAGAACTAGAACAGAACTAGAACAGAACTAGAACAGAACTAGAACAGAACTAGAACAGAACTAGAACAGAACTAGAACAGAACTAGAACGGAACTAGAACGGAACTAGAACGGAACTAGAACAGATCTAGAACAGAATTAGAACAGAACTAGAACAGAAATAGAACTGAACTAGAACTGAATTAGAACTGAACTAGAACTGAACTAGAACTGAACTAGAACTGAACTAGAACTGAACTAGAACTGAACTAGAACTGAACTAGAACTGAACTAGAACTGAACTAGAACTGAACTAGAACTGAACTAGAACTGAACTAGAACTGAACTAGAACTGAACTAGAACTGAACTAGAACTGAACTAGAACTGAACTAGAACTGAACTAGAACTGAACTAGAACTGAACTAGAACTGAACTAGAACTGAACTAGAACTGAACTAGAACTGAACTAGAACTGAACTAGAACTGAACTAGAACTGAACTAGAACTGAACTAGAACTGAACTAGAACTGAACTAGAACTGAACTAGAACTGACTAGAACTGACTAGAACTGAACTAGAACTGAACTAGAACTGAACTAGAACTGAACTAGAACTGAACTAGAACTGAGCTAGGACTGAACTAGAACAGAACTAGAACAGAACTAGAACAGAACTAGAACAGAACTAGAACAACTAGAACAGAACTAGAACAGAACAGAACTAGAACAGAACTAGAACAGAACTAGAACAGAACTAGAACAGAACTAGAACAGAACTAGAACAGAAGTAGAACAGAACTAGAACAGAACTAGAACAGAACTAGAACAGAACTAGAACAGAACTAGAACTAGAACAGAACTAGAACAGAACTAGAACAGAACTAGAACAGAACTAGAACAGAACTAGAACAGAACTAGAACAGAACTAGAACAGAACTAGAACAGAACTAGAACAGAACTAGAACAGAACTAGAACAGAACTAGAACATAACTAGAACAGAACTAGAACAGAACTAGAACAGAACTTGAACATAACTAGAACAGAACTAGAACAGAACTAGAACAGAACTTGAACAGAACTAGAACAGAACTAGAACGGAACTAGAATAGAACTAGAATAGAACTAGAACAGAACTAGAACAGAACTAGAACAGAACTAGAACATAACTAGAACAGAACTAGAACAGAACTAGAACGGAACTAGAACAGAACTAGAACAGAACTAGAACAGAACTAGAACAGAACTAGAACAGAACTAGAACAGAACTAGAACAGAACTAGAAAAAAACTAGAACAGAACTAGAACAGAACTAGAACAGAACTAGAACAGAACTAGAACAGAACTAGAACAGAACTAGAACAGAACTAGAATATAGAACTAGAACAGAACAAGAACAGAACTAGAACAGAACTAGAACAGAACTAGAACAGAACTAGAACAAAACTAGAACAGAACTAGAACAGAACTAGAATATAACTAGAACAGAATTAAAGCAGAACTAGAGCAGAATTGAAATAGAATTGAACTGTATTCGAACTAAAACTGTATTTGAACTGATGTTCAAACAATTTTTAACTGGTTTTTATAACCTTTCTTGTTGCAGAGACTTGGCCACCCGTAATTGTATTATTTCCAGTGATTTCATCGTTAAGGTTTCATATCCCGCTCTCAGTAAAGACAAATATAACCGTGAATATTTCAAACATCGCAACACCCTACTGCCCATAAGATGGTTGGCACCCGAATGCATACAAGAAGATGAATATACCACCAAAAGTGATATTTATGCTTTCGGTGTAGTAGTATGGGAACTATTTACACAGGCCACTAAATTACCCTTCGAAGATGTAAGCAATGAAGAAGTGATACAACGAAGTCAGGCGGGTAAATTGGAATGGCAGTGTGCTGAGAATACACCCGATAGTCTTAAGGAAATATTGGTGAGTTGAAAGAATAAGGATATTAGGAGTAAGAAGATTTTATTAATTTTTTTTTTGGAAATTTGCTTTGCAGACCACTTGCTGGAATGTTAATCCCAAGGAAAGACCCTCATTTAGTCAATTGGGTTCGGCTTTAAGTAAAGCCATACAAAGTCTGGATAAATAAAACAACAACAGAAATGAGTGAGATATAGTATTTTATTTCGAATAATTTGCATTTATTTTAAATTTAGTGAAAGAAAGAAAACAAAAAGCCAAAAATTTTACTTAAGTTTTACTGCCTCATTAACATAAACGAATAAATTTATACATAATATTAAAATATATATTAAACATATAAACATAACTATATATATAGAAGTAGTATATAAATGAATAAATATTATTTATTATAATTAAGACAAGACAATTTTGAAGGTTGGTAACACATATATCTAGAACTTCCTTCATGGGATTCCATTTTTTTATAAAGATTTCATACGATTTCATTATTTCCTCACGACTGTTTAATATATATTTATATAATAATGTTTTCATAGATATTTTCTTACAGTGTATAATATATATTTAGCATTTAATTAATATAAACAATAAAAAAAAATCAGAATCGTGTTTAACACTTTTCACTTTCTTGATATAAAATTAAAATATTTTGTGTTTAAAAGTTTAAATAAACATTAAACAAATAGAAAACTAAACTGAAGGGCAACATTTTAATTGAAAAATTTGCCACACAAAACGGCAACATTTTGCAAAAAGTCAACATTTTCTATTGTTAAGAGAAATTTATAATAAAAACCAAGTACTCATTAAAATAATTTAAAGAAAAACACACAAAATAACTTCTTAGAAACTTGCAAAATACAGCCGCCATTAAAACTTTGTAAATAAAATGGTTGAGATACACTTAAAGAAAAAACTTAAGCTAAACAAAGCGGCCATACAATTCATACCAGTTAAAGCATTTATAGTATTTTTAAATAAAACAAACATTTCTTTTGTACTTTTTTATAAAAATCATTAAAAACAAAAAACAAAAAATATTTATTTTCTTTAACAACATAATGTATTATTAATTTAATTTTATATATTTAAGGCAACAATTTTATTTTATAAATAAAACCACATCATAAATTAAACAACTGTATAGTCTAAGTCTAAAGTCAGTCAGTCTTCTTGCAAATGAACTCTCATTCTTAATAAACAAAAAATAAATTTAATAAAAAGAAATGAGTAACACAACATAAATTAAATCTGCCATAGTGTTTAAGCTTTTTTTCATGTTTAAAAAACAAATTTATTAAGTGGAAAATAATAAAATAATGTTTTCAAACAAAAATTTACTTCTAAGTGGTCATAATTATAACAAAAAAACAAATATGTACAGTAAAAAATAATTATATATGGAAAAAAAATTAATAAAAGAAAATAAATATTAAATAATTAAACAAATATTATAAAAATAAAGAACATTTTAATAAAAAAATTGCTTAAATTCTTTTAAAAATTTTGAACAAAAATATATAAGCGGGCTATAGACTAGAAACTAGAACTAGAAACTAAAACAGAACTAGAAGCGAACTAGAAGAAGACTAAACAGAACTAGAACAGAACTGGCAGAGAACTTGTACAGAACTAGAACAAAACTTGAACAACACCATAACACCATAACACCACCAGAACAGAATTACAACAGAACTAGTGTAACAGAAGTTAAACAACACTATAAAAACACTAGAGTAACACAAGCCCAACATTAGAACTACTCTATAATACAGATGAGACTATAGTCTGGATTACAGACAAGACTATAGTCTTTGCAATAAACAAGATTAAAGTCTAGACAATAGACATAACTATAGTCTTGTCTATAGTAAAGACTATACTCTTGTCTATAGTAGACTATAGTCTTGTCTATAGTAAAGACTATAGTCTTGTGTATAGTAAAGACTATAGTATTGTCTATAGTAAAGACTATAATAGTCTTGTCTATACTAAAGACTATAACAGCCTTGTCTATAGTAAAAACTATAGTCTTATCTATAATAAAGACTATAGTCTTGTCTATAATAAAGACTATAATCTTGTCTATAGTAAAGACTATAGTCTTGTCTATAGTAAAGACTATAGTCTTGTCTATAGTAAAGACTATAGTCTTGTCTATAATAAAGACTATAGTCTTGTCTATAGTTAAGACTATAGTCTTGTCTTTATTAAAGACTATAGTCTTATCTATAGTAAAGACTATAGCCTTGTCTATAATAAAGACAATAGTCTTGTCTATAATAAAGACTATAGTCTTGTCTATATTAAAGACTATAGTCTTGTCTATAGTAAAGACTATAGTCTTGTCTATAGTATAGCCTATAGCCTTGTCTATAGTTAAGACTATAGCCTTGTCTTTATTAAAGACTATAGTCTTGTAAAGACTATCTTTATTGTAAAGACTATAGTCTTGTCTATAGTAAAGCCTATAGTATTGTCTATAGTAAAGACTATAGTCTTGTCTATAGTAAAGACTATAGTCTTGTCTATAGTAAAGACTATAGTCTTGTCTATAGTAAAGCCTATAGTCTTGTCTATAGTAAAGACTATATTCTTGTCTATAGTAAAGCCTATAGTCTTGTCTATAGTAAAGACTATAGCCGTGTCTATAGTTAAGACTATAGTCTTGTCTGTAGTAAGGACTATAGTCTTGTAAAGACTATCTTTATAGTAAAGAATATAGTCTTATCTATAGTAAAGACATTAGTATTGTCTTTATTAAAGACTATAGACTTTCCTATAGTAAAGACTATAGTCTTGTCTTTATTAAAGACTATAGTCTTGTCTGCAGTAAAGACTATAGTCTTGTCTATTGTTAAGACTATAGTCTTGTCTTTATTAAAGACTATAGTCTTGTCTATAGTAAAGCCTATAGCCTTGTCTATAGTAAAGACTATAGTCTTGTCTATAGTTAAGATTATAGTCTTGTCTGTAGTAAAGACTATAGTCTTGTAAAGACTATCTTTATAGTAAAGAATATAGTCTTATCTATAGTAAAGACATTAGTCTTGTCTTTATTAAAGACTATAGTCTTGTCTATAGTAAAGAGTATAGTCTTGTCTATAGTAAAGAATATAGTCTGGTCTACAGTAAGGACTATAGCCTTGTCTATAGTAAGGACTATAGTCTTGTCTATAGTAAAGACTTTAGTCTTGTCTATAGGAAAGCTTTATAGTCTTGTCTATAGTAAAGACTATAGTCTTGTCTATAGTAAAGACTATAGTCTTGTCTATAGTAAGGACTATAGTCTTGTCTATAGTAAAGACTATAGTCTTGTCTATAGTAAAGACTATAGTCTTGTCTATAGTAAAGACAATAGTCTTGTCTATAGTTAAGACTATAGTCTTGTCTATAGTAAAGACTATAGTCTTTTCTATAGTAAGCACTATAGTCTTGTTTATAGTAAAGACTATGGCCTTGTCTATAGTAAAGACTATGGCCTTGTCAATAGAAAAGACTATAGTCTTGTCTATAGTAAAGACTTGTTTATAGTAAAGTGTTGTCTATAGTAAAGTCTTGTCTACAGTAAAGACTATAGTCTTGTCTATAGTAAGCAGTATAGTCTTGTTTATAGTAAAGACTATGGCCTTGTCTATAGTAAAGACTATAGTTTTGTGTTTAGTAAAGACTATAGTGTTGTCTATAGTAAAGACTATAGTCTCGTCTATAGTAAGCACTATAGTCTTGTTTATAGTAAAGACTATAGTCTTGTCTATAGTCTTGTCTATAGTAAGCACTATAGTCTTGTTTATAGTAAAGACTATGGCCTTGTCTATAGTAAAGACTATAGTCTTGTGTATAGTAAAGACTATAGTCTTGTGTATAATAAAGACTATAGTCTTGTCTATAGTAAAGACTATAGTCTTGTCTATAGTAAAGACTTTAGTCTTGTCTATAGTAAAGACTTTAGTCTTGTCTATAGTAAAGCTTTATAGTCTTGTCTATAGTAAAGACTATAGTCTTGTCTATAGTAAAGACTATAGTCTTGTCTATAGTAAGCACTATAGTCTTGTTTATAGTAAAGACTATTTCCTTGTCTATAGTAAAGACTATAGTCTTGTGTATAGTAAAGACTATAGTCTTGTCTATAGTATAGACTATAGTCTTGCTTTGGTAAAGACTATAGTCTTGTCTATAGTAAGCACTATAGTCTTGTTTATAGTAAAGACTATGGCCTTTCTATAGTAAAGACTATGGTCTTGTCTATAGTAAAGACTATAGTCTTGTCTATGATAAAGACTATAGTCTTGTCTATAATAAAGACTATAGTCTTGTCTATAGTAAAAACTATGGCCTTGTCTATAGTAAAGACTATGGCCTTGTCTATAGTAAAGACTATATTCTTGTCTATAGTAAAGACTATTATAGTCTTGTCTATAGTAAAGCATATAGTCTTCTCTATAGTAAAGACTATTATAGTCTTGTCTATAGTAAAGACTATAGTCTTGTCTATAGTAAAGACTATAGTCTTGTCTATAGTAAAGACTATAGTCTTGTCTATAGTAAAAACTATGGCCTTGTCTATAGTAAAGACTATGGCCTTGTCTATAGTAAAGACTATAGTCTTGTATATAGTAAAGACTATTATAGTCTTGTCTATAGTAATGACTATAGTCTTCTCTATAGTAAAGACTATAGTCTTGTCTATAGTCTATAGTAGTCTTGTCTATAGTAAGGACCATAGACAAGACTATAGTCTGGACTGCACATTAAACACGACTATAGTTGAGACACATTAATTCTGGTTGGTTGAAATCTAAACTTAGCATTTTTACACATTTTCGGTATTTCCTTCCGAAATTAGTTAGAGATGTTGTAGCACACAATTTGTCTTAATAAAACTTTAATAAAATTTTCAAAAGTTTTTCTTCAGGTTTCAAACTTTACTAAACCAAACCTAGCAAGTGTAGCAAAGTATTGAACCCTTTGTTATAAAAGTCTATAAAATTGTTTGTACTTTTGCGTTCCATGAAGGACATGCGCAATATTGAATTTGGGCTCTGTTTCGCTGCAATCCACAATTTATTATGATTTAGTAGAATGTAGCCTGCAGTTGAAGTTGCTCCAAATATAAATCTTGTTTAAGGATTGAATCTAGGATTTCTCATCTAAAATCTAGAGTTAAAAAAAGAACTAAATTTGCATTAAAAATTAAGTGGACTTTTGAAACAATGAATCCTTATTGTTAAAAGTTCCTGCAAACATTATTTAATACATATTGTCTATTTGAACTCATACCTGACAGATATAACATTAATTATTTACACGTGCCTGCATTTAATTAAGTTTTTTTTTACAAAAATTTAAATTTAATATTATGTAGTTAAGGTTTTTCTTTTCGTCCCTTTCTAAAAGTCTTCATATTTGTACTGCTCCAATAAACTTGACCTTTTGTTAATGTGTTGTGTGTTAAATTGCATGTTGTAATATGTCTCTGTTTTTTATTAACAAAATATAAAATGAAGATGTTTAACATGACCATAAACAACGAATCTTGTAACCAACTTGTTAAAATTGTGAAGGTGAAATTGTAAAGTTGTTTAATTTTTTTATTTTCTTCTTACAAAGGTTTTTACACACACAATTTATTGTAGAATGTGTGTTTTTTAACATTTGTGGGTCTTTCCATGGGATAAATGCAACACAATATAATACAAATTAGTCTACTGTTCTATCTATTTGGTACCGGTTACAATCTAGTACATATACATAGAGGTCTTTAGTTTAGACTATAGTCTTGTCTATAGTAAATATAGTAAAGTCTTGTCTATAGTAAAGATTATAGTTTTGTCTATAGTGAAGATAGTAAAGTCTTGTCTATAGTAACGACTATAGTTTTGTCTATAGTAAAGACTATTATAGTCTTGTAAATAGTAAAGACTATAGCCTTGTAAATAGTAAAGACAATAGTCTTGTCTATAGTAAAGATAGTAAATTCTTGTCTATAGTAAAGACTATAGTATTGTCAATGGTAAAGTGTATAGTCTTGTCTATAGTAAAGACTATAGTCTTATCTATGGTAAAGACAATAGTCTTATCTATAGTAAAGACTATAGTCTTGTCTATAGTAAAGGCTATAGTTTTGTCTATAGTAAAGACTATAGTCTTGTAAATAGTAAAGACTATAGTCTTGTATATAGTAAAGACTATTATAGTCTTGTCTATA